GTGGCCTTTGTCTTCTTGTTTATTCATCTCTCCAGCTTTAGTTCCTGAAATGAGGCTTTGTGCTTAGCCTTGATTTGGATTACCTGCGTTCCTGCCTTGGGATCTACCTCCTGGGGTTAGTCACCCCTCCTTACCTACCCATCTTAGATTTTTTAGGTTCATAGGATTTTTTAGGATCTTCAGGGTCCTTTATGGAGTTTTAGGACAGAGTTCTAGGGAGCTTAGGATCGCGGGGCCTAGCACAATGCTTAATACACAGTAGATGCTTAATAAATGGTAATTGAATTGATCTGACAAGGATCTGGCCTATCTCAGTCTAGGAATTGCCATATTTAAGCATGTTGCTCCCACTCCTTGATACTTCTGTTATTCCTGATGTAGATTTCCAATCACCCTGAAGGTTTTTCAGAGAAGACCTGTGCTCTCACTGCCTTAGGATACAGGGCCTGTCATGCTGGGAGGTTACCATCTTGTTGTCCTGAGTTGGTACTAGAGGGGGCCCCCCCCTTTCTTATTGCTTGTGGGTTTCTGAATGAATTTTTGTATAGTTTTGAGGCTAAAGGTAATTTACTAGACAGCTAAATCCCCCTAAGAGCAAGTTATGAGTCCTGTGAAGTGGTTGCATCATTTAAATTCTTACTATTCAAAGTTCTAACCACATGTAAAATACAAATTTCCCATGTAGAGAAATGGAGGAAAAAGAAGGCACAGAGACAAAGCTAAGTCCTGGGAGCCAGAACACGATTTCTTCTCCATCGGGGTTAAGTGACTTGCCCAGGGTCACACAGCTGATAAGTGTCAAGTGTCTGAGTTGAGATGAGCTAAACATTTTTGAGGAGCAAGGAACCACAGATTCAGTTTTGTTGCCTCCAAAATGTCATTGGGGAATTTCTCAGCCCAGAGATCCTCTTGAAGAATAACTCCTCCCACTTCAGTACATTGGACTGGAGGTCCGTAAATCAGGAGGCAAGGCTGGAAGATAAAATGTTTAATTACATCAGCTAATGGTCACTTGTCAGCTGGATAGCAACCCGCAGAACACAGGCAGATACGTGCATTTGGAGGTTTTTATACAGCCTTGGGGTTATATCATAGGTGGTTAAAAAGAGGCTGGGGCTGCTGAGCAACTTTTTTTTTTTTAATTTGGGATATCTGACAGGGTATTCGATGATTTGGAGGAGAATGTGTTAACCTTGGGGTTAGAACTGTTAACCACAGGGTCTTAGAAGTTGCCAAAGATCAAGTTTGCTGTTTTCTGTAAAGTTAATCTTGTCAGATATATTGGTCAGAAATTTTTAAAAGAGTGGAAGTTTCCTTCAAGATGGAAATCAGTCAGGCTCATCCTGTCTGATAGCCTGAGGGTCTGTCTCTGTACAACCCCATGACTGTTTTTTTGGGAGAGAAGATGTTTTCCCCAAATTCACAGTTGGCTTCTTCCACAATGTCATGTCATCCCAAACTTTCTTCATATTGAGGGACAAGATGACTGATTGGGTGGCCTCATATTGGAAGGCTTCAGTCATCTGGGCTTGGAGTAAGAAAGCCAAAATTTAATACTGACTCCACCATTTACTTACTACCTATATGATCTTGGGTTTAACCTTACCTCTCTGAAGCTGTTTCTTCATCTGTAAAATGAGAAATTTGGATTAAAGATGTCAGTGTGATGCTGTGGAAATACTGGTATATTTAGAGACAGAAAACCTGGATTTAGATTCCAGCACTACTAATTACTATCTGTATGAACTTGGGCAAATCAGCTGACTTCTGTTTCCTCATTTATAAAATGAGGGGGTTGGATTAGGTGACCCCCATGGCTTTTTCCAACTCTAATTTATGATCCTGTGCCTAGGTGATTTCTTAGGTTCAGCTCTAACATTTTTACCTATGATTTTTTGATGAAGGCATGCATAGCAAGAAGAGTTTCCAGCCCTTACTTGTGAAAACAGTGTTCATGTGCATATATATTGGTTCAAGGCAATAAAATAATGATAATGTGTGACTTACTGTCTCTTACTAATCTAGAGCATGACATTTGTTTTGCATGTTCTTTCTCCTGCAAACACCTAGAGGGGCCTCTTTCCCTAGACCACATCAGCTCACAAAGCTAAGGAATAGTATCTCCTGTCTCTTTAAAGGCAAAAAGAAGTTTCTTCTTATTTGCTACCTCAAGACACTTGCATTAAGTCACACCAAAAAGGATTTGGTGGCTACAAACTTGTGGGTTTTTTTTTTTAAACGTCAAACAACTGGAATATCATTGGAATTGGAAGGGTTCTATCACTGACAAAATGTGAGCACAGGCCCCTTTTGGCTGGCAGCCAAAGGAAAGGGTTTCTCTCCTTTAAAAAAGATCTTATTTCAAGAACACCCTGAAGGACCAAGATGTGTTAGTTGACACAGTACATTTATTTTATCCATAAGGCAAAGGAAATAGAGATAGGATGAAAATATTTATTTCAAAGTAAAATTATAACATTTTTGCATCAATTTTGGCACCTGGTCCTTCTAGTATTAATTCGACTTCCCCATCAAGAAGAGATCACTCAGAAGTCTGTTTAAGCTTTTATCAAGCAAAGAGGTCAGGATAGGGTGGAGTGTCACCTAAGTATTCCTGTGGGTTGGGGGTTGAGAGAGGGTTGTCACTCCCAGTCTTCCAGTCAGGTGATTAGGCAGCTAGATAGCTAGTGGATAGAGCCACAGACCTGAAGTCAGGAAGACCCAAGTTCAAATCTAGCTTTAGACACTGGCTATCTGTGTGATCCTGGGTAAGTCACTTAACCTCTGTCTGCCTCAATTTCCTCATCTGTAAAGTGGGGTTAATAATAGCGCCTACCTCATAGGGTTGTTGTGAAGATCAAATGAAATATGTACAGCACTTCCCCAATCTTAAATCATTACATAAATGCTAGCTATTATTAATAATAATTACTATCATCTGCAGCAGAAATCCACAAGTCTTGATGCATTGGGAGAGTACCCAGTTCCACATTTCTTGTTAGCCACTGTTAGGGCTCAGCAAGAGGGATTCTCTCTGTTATGTCTCTTTCTCAAAGTTCTCAGTGCCTCAAGTTGTGGTACATGATTGTAATGGAATACTACTATGCCATAAGAAATGATGAGCTTGATGATCTTAGTAAAACATCGCTAGACTTGCAGGAAATAACAAAGAGCCAAAAATAAGCAGAGCAATGAGAACGTTGCATACGATAACAGCAATATTGCTTTAAGAACAACTTGGAGCGAATATATCATTTTGACTGTTATAAATACCCAAATTAACTACAAAGGACATAGGAAGACGCTATCTGCATCCAGAGAAAGAACTGATAAATAGAAGTATGTATAGAATGATTTTACATATACACACACATATTTTGTGTCTAATGCTAGCCATCTCTGGGGAGGAGAGGGGAAAAAAGGAAAAAAAAGAAATTTACATGATAACTTTATTATGTATTTAAAAGGAATAGCAAGTTTTACATAATAGATTTGCAGTTCCATGTGCAATCATTTTTTAAAAAATTAATACTCTGTTATGGGAAAAATGCTTATTGATTGGGAAAAAAAGAATTCACAGTGCCAGGGTCAAACTTCCCTGTTTCCATGACTTTGGGCAAACGTCTTTTTGGATACCACAGGCACCCCTGGTGTCCTTTGTCCCTGTGACGGTCTTCACTACCTGGTCTATCAGAAGGCAGAGTGTCACATACAAATGACTTAACAAATTTGTGCAATACAAACAGTGCAACACAGCAGTCAAAATAAGGTGAATGTGGATAGTTCTGGGTGATATATTTGGAGATGGACATTGACAGGCCAGGGGGCCAACCAGGATTTTGAAGGTGCTTGAGGATTAATTGAAGGAACAGGAAAAGCCTGGAGAAGAGAAGGCCTGGGGAAACGGGTCTTTAGTGTTCAAGGTATTGTCATATGGAAGAGGGATCAGATTTTATCTGCTGGGTCTGAGGCCAGCTAGAAAAGGGGTGGAAGTTGCAGAGAGAGATTTCAGCCCCATCTAAGGAAAAATATTTTTACTGTTCGAGCTGTCCTAAAATGGAACTGGCTGCCTCTGGAGGAAATGGGTTCTACTTCACTAGAGATCCTCAGCAAAGGCTGGATGGTGACTTGTTAGGGCTTTTGTAGACGTCTTAGAGGATACTGAGGGGATTCCTGTACAGGCACAGATTGGACTATATCAGGTCCCTCTTAGAAACTGTGTTCAAGGACCCAAATCCTGTGGCACAAGGTCCCATCTGAATGCCTACATTGCCCCTTTCTTCGTTCTACCCCTTCCTCCTTTTTACTCCTTTAGGAAAGAGGTTTGCCCCTTATATTCCACAGACCTACTTTCTCTCTGCACCCCGGCAGAGATTCTAGGGGTTTTAGGGGGCACAGTGTAGGCACGTAGTGGACAAACACGCCCGCCAAGGCCGGCCCCGAAGACTAGAGGCAGATGCTGGGCCTGAGGGTCGGTTCCGCTATTATTGTTTTCTCCCGGGCACTAGCTAATGAACGCCTGGATGCAGCTTCGGAGAGTGGAGGCTCGCCTGGAAGCCCTTGCTTCCCTTTCCTAGGAAAGCCCGGTCCTCCGTGGGCAGGTCCAGAGTTTTCGAGGGTTTTGTCAGCCAGGGTACAGGAGGAGCTTGGGGGAGGAGGCAGACGAAGGATGCTCAGAACTAGGGGCCAGTGGTGCGAGCTGAACCTGACCTTCTAGGGAGCGAGGAGATGAAATAAGCTGGGGGAGGAGAGCGAGCTAGCAAGGAGGCCGAGCAAGGGGAGGAGGAGAAGGAGCAAGAGTAGGGAGAGAAGTAGAGGAAGGAGGAGCAGGACGAGGAGGAGAACGAGAAAGAGAAGCTGGAGCAAGGGGAGGAGGCGGGGGAAGAGTAGGGGGAGAAGTAGAAGGAGGGGCAGGAGGAGGAGCGAGACAAGGAGGAGGAGCAGCAGCAGGAGGAGGAGGAGCACGAGAGGGGAGGAGAGAGGAGGGGCTGTCGCGGATCCTCCCTCTTGACCCTAGTCGAAGAGCTGCACCTCCTCCTCTCCCCTCTCGGGCGGAGCCAGGGCGCTCCCGAGCCCACCCCGCGCCGAACCCGGAACCGGGCAGGTGGGGGTGGGGGGAGGGCCATCGTTTCGGGCTCACGGAGACCCCTACGCCCCTTTTCCCCCGCGGCGGGCGCCTCGGCCATGTCTGCGGAGGAAATGGTGCAGATCTTGCTGGAGGGCCGCTGCTACCCTGTGAGCAAGAAGAAGCTTATCGAGCAGAGCGATTACTTTCGCGCTCTGTACCGCTCGGGCATGCGGGAAGCTGGGGGACCAGACTCAGGGGGCCCCGAGGTGCAGCAGCTGCGGGGGCTCAGTGCCCCGGGCCTGCAGCTCGTGTTGGATTTCATCAACACTGGAGGAACTGGGTCTGACTGGTTTCTGGGCCCGCAGGGAGAGAAGGGTGGTGGAGAGGAGGAAGAGGTAGAGGAAGGCAGCTTGCTGGAGGAGCTGGTGGAAGTGGCCTCCTTCCTGCAGGTCACCCCTTTGCTGCAGCTGCTGCTGTCCCAGGTGCGATTGGACAACTGCCTGGAGCTGCACCGCCTGGCACAGGTGTATGGGCTGCAAGACCTCCAGGGGGCCTGCCTGAGCTTCATGGCTGCCCACTACCACCAGGTGCTTCGCAGCCCCCAGTTCCACCTTTTGGTTACCCCTCCACAGGCTCCAGGGGAGGCCGGTCTCAAGCAGAAGCTGAGGGAGGGCAGGATGAAAGGAAAAGCCGTCCTCATAGCACTGGGAGACTTCTTAGGGGGGCCCCTGGCACCCCATCCCCATCAGGGAGAGCCGAGGTCCATGCTTAGATATGACGAGGCCACCCTGAGGTGGTTGCCGTTGGCCAACCAGCTGCCTTCTGATCTGGTGAATGTCAGGGGTTATGGGTCTGCCATCCTGGACAACTACCTTTTCATAGTGGGAGGTTATAGGATCACCAGCCAGGAAATCTCTGCTGCCCACTGCTATAACCCTTGCAAAAATGAGTGGAGTCAGGTGGCTTCGATGAACCAAAAGAGGTAAGCACCAGATCCAAATGTTCCCATAAAACTCTTCTCAGCCCTTGGTGGCATTGCAGAGAGTAGTGATAATCTGGAGATGCCACCCTTGGGACATTGCATCAATTCATTATTCTCTGCTATGATTGGCACAGGAGATTGGAGATCAGGATTATTCCCTTAACTTTAGGAGAAACAAGCCAGGGGCTGTAGAACATATGAGCTAAACCATCTAGACAGTAAGACCCTTAATATCACTTGGCCTTTCTGTTTATGCAAGAAGGAGACACCTAGCCACATTTTCCAAGAAGGACATTTCATGAGAAAAGTTTAGATTTTCCTTTGATTTAGGTTCGTATAGTCACTGCAGCCACACATGACCAGTCTGATGGGTTATATTTGTCTGAAATTCCCAAGGGATTACTTCTTCCATCATTCAGGATCTTCTCAAAGCCTGAACATACAGTTCTTAGGCTTATAGAGTTAGATGCAAGATAGGTAAATAGATAAAGCATGCATTGTAATAAGAGCACAACTCCTGCCCTCAAGGAATTTATAATCTAATAGAAAAGGGCAAAACATAAAGGGGAGCTGCCAGGGCATGGGGGACCAGGAGCAGTAAGGTAGGGAAGGAAAGGTGGAGCAAGAATGAAGTAACAGCTGGAGTTTCCCATGATATGGTGCTCCCAGGCTGGGACCCACCAATTAGTGAGTAGGCCTCTGGATAGAGTCATCTTCCAGGGGGATAGAAAGAACCAGCATGATCTAGTCCATTTTACAGATGAGGCAATTAGGGCCTAGAGAAGTTTAGTGACTCCCCTGAGGTCAATCATACATGTATGGGAGTAAATAGCAGTGGGGATTCAAGTTCAGATCAACTAACATACTGTTGTTCTGTCTGACTCTTCATGACTCCGTTTGGAGTTTTCTTAACAAAGGTACTGGAATGGTTTGCCATCTCTTTCTCCAGCTCATTTTACAGATGAGGAAACTGAGGCAAACAGGGATAAGTGACTTGCCCAGGGTCACACAGCTAGTAAGTGTCTGAGGCTGAATTTGACCTCAGGAAGATATGTTCCTGACTTCCAGGCCCAGTAGTCTATTCATTGGGCAACCTAGTTGTCCCATATATGCCACAGTGCTTACTAGGAAATATGTTGGAATTTTATTACTGTTACCCACACGTTTCCTTAAAGAATTAAGTTTTTATTGATATCTTCTGTTTTTGACACCAGTATAGTTATCCGCAGTATCTCTCCCCTTTCTCCTCCCAGAGACCCATCCTATATAACAAATAATATTTTTTAGAGACAAAAAGACAGAGACAGAAAGACAGGGAGACAAGGGAGATAAAGAATAAGAAAAAAATAAGCAGAATTGGTTAACATTGAAAAAGTCCCCAAATATGTTCAATGTGTAACATCTGTGGACCTTCTACCTCCGCAAAGGGGTAGGTTGGGGATGGTCTCTCATATCTCTTGAGTTGCATCATGCTTGAGGTTTATATTTAGTTACATTCATGTTGATTTTTTTTGCATGTGGTTCTCTTCTTTTGTATTGTTGTCATTGTGTATATTGTTTTCTTGACTCTGCTTACTTCACTCTGCATTAGTTCTTGTAGATCTTAATATGCTTCATTATATTCATCTCATGTATCATTTCTTAAAGCACAGGAATATTCCATTATATTTATGTGCCACAATTTATTTAGCCTTTCTCCAATCAATGGGAATCTACTATGTTTATAAGTCTTTTGCTATCACAAAAATGCTTTTATAAATATTTTGGTTTATGTGGAGATGATTTTTTATTAATGGCTTCCTTGGGGAATAAACACAGTGATGGAGTCTCTGGTTCATAGGATATAGACATTTTAGTCATTTTATTTGTGTAACTCTAAATTACTTTCCAAAATGGTTGTACCATTTCACAGCTCCATCAACAATGTATTAGTATGTATAACCCCTTCAACATTGACTATTGCCATTTTTAAAAATATTTTTGCCAAAATATTTTGCCACACAGAGTGTGAGGTGAAACCTCATGGTGGTTTTGATTTGTATTTCTCTTATTAATGATTTGGAGCATTCTTTAATGTGGTTATGAACACTTTGTAATTTTTTTTTGAGAACTGTTTGTTCATAGTCCAATAATATCTATTGGAGAATGGAGATTAGACTCATATATTTATTATTTAAATATCTTGGATACCAAACTCTTATCGGAGAAATTTGATACAAAGATTTTTTTTCCCCATTCGACCTCTTCCTTTCTTATCCTAGGTGCATTAATTTTGTTTGTGCAGCTGTTCAGTTTCATGTGATCAAAGTCATCTATTTTATCTTTTGTAATTGTTTCTATCTCTTGTGTGACTTAAAATACATCTCCTGCCTATAGCTGTGAGAGGTATATGATCTGCTTCTCTTCTAGTTTTTTAAAATTATCTTTAATTTTTATTATCTTTAATAATGTCATGTATCCAGTTAGAATGTATTGTAGAATATGTTGTAAAAGTACTGGTATAAGCCTAATTTTTGCCAGACTGCTTTTCAGCGATTTTTATCAAATAAGGAATTTTTTCCTTTTATAATTTATGTTTTCCACTTTATCAGACACTGGATTATAGAATTCTTTTCATCTTTCTCTTCATGTTTAAACTAATACCAAATGGTGCTGATGAGTATTACTTTATAATAGTAGTCTGAGGCCTGAAAGTGCTAGTCCCCCTTATCACTGCTTTTTTTCCCCCATCATTTCCCTTGATATTCTAGCTATTTTGTTTTTCTAAATGAATTTTGTTATTATTTTATCAAATTCTATAAAGTATCCCTTTGGTTATTTTATTTTATTTTATTTATTTATTTTTTAGGCAGTTGGGGTTACATGACTTGCCCAGGGTCACACAGCTAGTAATTGTCAAGTGTTTGGTCTGAGGCCGAATTTGAACTCAGGTTCTCCTGACTTCAGGGCTGGTACTCTATCCACTGCGCCACCTAGCTGCCCCTGGTTATTTTATTGATATAGCATTAAATGTATGAATTAACTTTGGTAGTTTTGTCATTTTTACTATGTTGGCACAGCCTAGCCCTGAGTACTGAATATTCCTCCAGCTATTTGCATTATTATTTTTTCTTTAAGGAGCACCTTTTTATTTTTTGGTGAGGCAATTGGGGTTAAGTGACTTGCCCAGAGTCACACAGCTAATGGGTGTTATGTGTCTAAGGCCAGATTTGAACTCAGGTCCTCTTGACTACAGGGCCGGTGTTCTATTCACTGTGCAGCCTAGCTGCCACCTAGCTGCCCCTTAAAGAGAACTTTGTAATTGAATCTATGCAACTCTGTTATGTACTTTGGTAGATCAATTCCCCAGATATTTTATGCATTTTGTAGTTAGTTAGAATGAGATTTCCATTTATATTATTGTTTCTTGTGTTTTCTTATTATCATGTAGAAATGCTATGATTTTTGGGGGGTTTATTTTGTAGCCTGCAATTCTGATGAAGCTATTGTCTCAATTAGTACCGTTGATGATTCTTAGGATTGTCCAAGTATACCATCATATCAGCAAGCAGGGATAGTTTTATCTTCTCTTTACCTTATCTTTATTTTTTAAATTTCTTTCTCTTTGTCTTATGGCTGTTGCTAGCATTTTCAGAACAATATCAAATAATAGTAGGGCATCCTTACTTTACTCCCATATTTATTGGGAAAGGATCTAGTGGCAGGGGTGGGGAACCTGGCCTTGAGGCCGCATGTGGCCTTCTAGGGCTTTGGGTATGGCCTTTTGACTGAGTCCAGGTTTTACAGAACAAATCCTTTTAATAAGGGGATTTGTTCTGTGAAATTTGAATTTAGTCAAAGGGCTGCACTTGAGGACCTCTGCATGTGGCCTCGAGGCTGCAAGTTCCTCATCCCTGAAGTGTATTCCCATTGCATATGATGTTTGCTTTTGGTTTTACAAAGATGCTTTTTATCTTGTTAAGAAAAAGGTAACCTCTGTGCTTATATTTTGTATTTTTTTTTAAGCATAAATGAGTGTTGTACTTTGTCAACAGCTTTTTCTGTGTCTGTTGAGATAATTATGTGGTTTGGGGTGTTTTGGTCTTCAATATGATTATGTTGATTGTTTTCCTAATGTTGAATCACTCCTACTTGCTTCCCTGGTATTAGTCCTATTTGCTCATAATGAATGCCTTCCTGGAAAAATTTCTGTAGTTTTTTTTAATGGGATTTTGAGTCAAAAAATTGAGTTTAGAATTTTTGAGTCAATATTCATTAATAGTATTGATTTACAGTTTTCTTTCTGTGTTTCATCTTTCCCTGGTTTAGGTATTAAGATGATTTTGGTGTCATGACAGGATTCTGATAGGGTGCTTTCTCATTTTGGGGGGAATAATTTGTGAAGTGTGGGTACTAATTGTTCTTGAAAAGTCTAATATACTTCTGTGAATCCATTGGAAGTTTATTTCTTTGGTAGTTCCTTTATGGTGTGATCTGTTTCCTTTTTTAATATTGGGTTATTTAAGACATCTATCTTGAGATCTGATAGTTTGAATATTTTATATTTTTGAAGCTATTCCTTTATTTCTTTTGTGTTCTCAGTTTTATTAGCATGTAACCGTGCATAATATATTTTAATTATTTTTTTATTTCTTCAGGAGGTTTAGTTGTGATTTCACCTTGCTTATTGGCTATTTTATTGATTTAATTTCCTACTCTCTTTTTAACCAGATTAGCCAAAGGTTTATCAACTTCATTAAACCAGCTTTTAGTTTTATTTATTATTTCTGTTTTTAAAAATAGATAGTTTATTTCTCCTCTAATTTTTAATATCTTCTCTTTTATGCTTATTTTAGGTTTGTTGGCTTTCTAATTAAAAAAAATACACATTCAGTTTATTAATCTTCTCCTTTTTCTGTTTTGTTAATGTATGTTTGTAGAGATGTAATTTTCTCTGTAAGGAGAAGTTTTGGTGTATTGTTTTATCATTATCAATTTCTTTTGCATAGTTTTTAATTATT